CCTTCGCCCAGTCCCACTGGAAGGCCTCAAGGAACAGGACACACACGCCTCATTTGGCAGATTCAAACAACTGGTTTTCAAGTTTGCAGCTTGACTGTTCGAAAGTAGTCAAACACATAAAGTCTCCCGGACTTTAGGATTCTGCAAGCATCTTTGCTGCCTAAATCAAAATTTCTGGAAGAACTACTTAAGTCAGGCTGCTGTGATGCCATAAAAGAGGATTCAGTATTCTTGATCCTTCGGGTGAACACGTGGAATAAGTCACAGTCTTATGGTTGTATGTTTTCTTTTGTGTGTATGTGTGTTTGTGTAAAACTGCCTGCAACAACCTTGACCTTGCCAGATCTCAAACTGTCACAGGCCTTCTGGAAGGGAGATAACAGAACGTTATGCAATGTTTTTATTAAGAATACAAGCATGCACTGGGGGAAGGTCAAGAAGCAGTCGGGGGTCTGGATTAGGGAACAAATTTGAAGATCAGATCTTCTCCGAAGGGTGGGAAATGTTTTAAAATTCCTTTTCTTGCTAGTTACTGACACAACTGAATAGTTTTGGCATTGTCTGAAAACTCAACCTTAGGACATCTAATGCTGATTTGTGTCTATTTCACCATCAGCAGCATGTAATTCAGCCTGACTGAGCTCCCTATGCTTCTAGTTGGAGATTGTTGAGGGAAAGATTTCTTTGTGATATTAGCATGAAGAGACAAGTACGACTGAGTCACTGAGACACGACGGAGCCACAGAAGCGTAGTTACAGAGTCAGGACAAGGAGAACAAGACATACTAATCCACTGCAGGAAAAGGTGACAGATGAGGTGGTTGACAGCAAATGGAGCTGCAAAGGAAAAGGATGGAGCCTGACTTGCAGGAGGAAGGTGCCCCGAGCAGCCCCTGTACCACAGTCTGCTCCGGTCTATATTTAGCACAGGGACCACAGATTGTAACGAGTGCTCCAGGGCCCCGTGTCCAGACCGGCAAGAACTGCTGCCATGCATCTCAGCGCTCGGGGCCAGACACGATCTCAGCCCATGCAGGCAAGAGGAAAGGATGAAGCAACCGCGTCTGACTGCACGCTAGTTGACCATACAGTAATGTAATAGATGTTTTGACAGCTAAAACAGACAGGATGTTGATACCTGAGTGAGGGAGCCTTCGGTGCCTTGGTGTTTTTGAATAATGATTGTACATCTAGAAATTCCTCTCTGTATTTTATTATTTTTTTTACATCTGAAAAGGGCAGAGCATCCCCATCACTTATTACTCCTGGTAAAAAAGCACTCGTCTGCCTGAACAGGGCTGACATTCAGCGCAAATGTCAAAAGTCGCTCGAGCCCCGTTGGACTGCTGCAGTTTGTTTTCTAACCTTAGCCATCGACAACACCTCCAGGACTGTTAGGAGGATTGTCAGCTCCACTGAGCTGTTCAGACGTCAAAGTCCGGTGTGACAAAAACTTAAGCTGCTGTCCATCCTGAAGTGGAGCTGAATCTCTGTGATTAAAGAAGCTGCTATCAATATAAATCACCTCAGCCCAAAAGCTTATGCCCTGCTGGGTTTCATCTTTCTACAGGAGTGGTGACTGTGGTCAGCTTCTCACAGCCTCCTGCAGCATAATTCACTTTTCTGCTGTGAAGTTGGAAATTTTTATTTATCTCCGTCTTGGCTGGAAAACCATTGCAAGACTTAGCTATTAGATAAAAATATGCTGGAACTCAGGTCTTTTCAGACAGAAAATACTAAATTACACACTTAAGAGACCATGCTATAAATCTGCTGCAACCAATAACCAACAAATCTGTAATCCTGCTATACAGTGGTGTGAAAAACTATTTGCCCCCTTCCTGATTTCTTATTCTTTTGCATGTTTGTCACACAAAATGTTTCTGATCATCAAACACATTTAACCGTTAGTCAGAGATAACACAAGCAAACACAAAATGTAGTGTTGAAATGATGGTTTTTATTATTTAGGGAGAGAACAAAATCCAAACCTGTGTGAAAGAGTAATTGCCCCCTGAGCCTAATAACTGGTTGGGCCTCCCTTAGCAGCAATAACTGCAATCAGGCGTTTGCGATAACTTGCTACGAGTCTTTTACAGCGCTCTGGAGGAATTTTGGCCCACTCATCTTTGCAGAATTGTTGTAATTCAGCTTTATTTGAGGGTTTTCAAACATGAACCACATTTTTAAGGCCATGCCATACAATCTCAATAGGGTTCAGGTCAGGACTTTAACTAGGCCACTCCAAAGTCTTCATTTTGTTGTTCTTCAGCCTTTCAGAGGTGGATTTGCTGGTGTGTTTTGGGTCATTGTCCTGCTGCAGCACCCAAGATCGCTTCAGCTTTAGTTGATGAACAGATGGCCGGACATTCTCCTTCAGGATGTTTTGGTAGACAGTAGAATTCATGGTTCCATTTATCACAACAAGCCTTCCAGTTCCTGAAGCAGCAAAATAACCCCAGACCATCACACTACCACCACCATATTTTACTGCTGGTATGATGTTCTTTGTCTGAAATGCTGTTACTTCTACGCCAGATGCAACGGGACAGTTGCCTTCCAAAAAGTTCAACTTTTGTCTCATCAGTCCACAAGGTGTTTTCCTAAAAGTCTTGGCAATCACCGAGATGTTTCTTAGCAAAATTGAGACGAGCTCTAATGTTCTCTTTGCTTAACAGTGGTTTGCGTCTTGGAAATCTGCCATGCAGGCCATTTTTGCCCAGTCTCTTTCTCATGGTGGAGTCGTGAACACTGACCTTAATTGAGGCAAGTGAGGCCTGCAGTTCTCTAGAAGTTGTCCTGGGGTCTTTTGTGACCTCTCGGATGAGTTGTCTCTGCGCTCTTGGGGTAACTTTGGTCGGCCGCCCACTCCTGGGATGGTTCACCATTGTTCCATGTTGTTGCCATTTGTGGATGATGGCTCTCACTGTGGTTCACTGGAGTCCCAAAGCTTTAGAAATGGCTTTATATCCTTTGCCAGACTGATGGATCTCAATTACTTCTGTTCTCATTTGTTCTTGAATTTCTTTGGATCTTGGCATGATGTCTAGCTTTAGAGGTGCTTTTGGTCTACTTCTCTGTGTCAGGCAGCTCACATTTAAGTGATTTCTTGATTGAAACAGGTGTGGCAGTAATCAGGCTTGGGGGTGGCTACAGAAATTGAACTCAGGTGTGAAACACCACAGTTGGGTTATTTTTTAACAAGGGGGTCAATTACTTTATCACACAGGGCAATGTAGGTTTGGATTTTGTTCTCTCCCTAAATAATAAAAACCATCATTTCAAAACTGCATTTTGTGTTTACTTGTGTTATCTCTGACTAACAGTTAAATGTGTTTGATGATCAGAAACATTTTGTGTGACAAACATGCAAAAGAATAAGAAATCAGGAAGGGGGCAAATAGTTTTTCACACCACTGTAGATCAAAATTTGATAAATGAGTATAAAAATTGCCCCCCCCCCCCCCCCGTTACAAAAACTGTCATTTGTTTAAAAACAGATGTGCCCAATCCTGGTCCTGGAGGGCTGCCATCCAGCATGTTTTAGTTTTTTTCCCTGCTCAACACACCAGATTTCAATCAGCAGGTGATTAAGCTTCTGTAGAGCTTAATGAGCAAAGTTCATGTAAAGTTTTGGAAATAAATGTTGTGTTACACTAAATGTGTGTGTGTGTGCTGCTGTTAAAGCAGTCAAAAGCCACAAGGATCACTGAAATAACAGACTGACAAAAGCAGCAATGGAAATATAACAATTGACTAATGAAAATGCCTTTTTAATTATGGTTCAATAGAATTTCATTAATAAAATTATAATTAAACTGCTGAGCAGTAGCTCAGAATATAGAGCAGGTTATGTAGTAATCAGTGGGTTGTGGGATCGATTCTGCCAGAGAATGGCAGGTAACCCACCTTGCCAGCTGCTGGTGGTCGGAGGGGCCGGTGGCACCAGTGCTCGGCAGCCTCGCCTCTGTCAGTGAGTCCCAGGGCAGCTGTGGCTACAGTGTAGTTCATTCTCGCCAGCATTAATGACTGATTGTGTTGCGAAGCGCCTTGGGGGGCTTTAGAACCCCAGAAGGCGCTATACAAATACAGGCCATTTATCATTTAGTTGCACATGCTTTTGAAGCACGACTGCATTGAAGGATTACTGAAATGAGAGCTCTGCACTTGTTGAGCCCTTGGGAGTTCGTCTCTAGAAGTTGTTCTGCTTTTGATTCACGCGATCCGTAAAATGAGTCACCAGCTTTCCTGCTGCGTCCACATCCAGGCAGGTTGGCTTCAGTAGTTGTCTGTAATCTTTTCATTCAACATTTTCTTCGGTCTGGGTTCAGAGTGGTACTCAAACCGCTCTGTGACTCCTTTTCAGCCTTTAAACAGACAGATTACAGGACACACCTTTGTTTAACGTGTTCTTGGTCAAGTTATTTTTACTCCTAAATCCCGTCATTCTTAATGAACCACAATTCATGAACTATGTCTGATTTTCATTGGTGGACTTTGTCACTTTAAAATAACCACTTTAGTCAGTGTTAAAGTAATTCAGTAACCTTTCCAGGTTTTCATTTGTCCTAACCATCAGATCCATATCTATGTTAACCGTGTATATGGAAAAACAATTTAAAATCTTGTTTGAACTCTTCCAGCCTTGTAACCCTTTTAAATTTCTTCCCCTACATATTTGGTATTCATGTCCACACAACTTGCTCTTGTTACGTTACTCTCCTTTTCCAGGCATTTATCCTACACGTTTGTTTGCGATGTGCCTTCACTAATCCCTCAGCCTGTCTGTCGCTGACGACATCGCTCTGAAACCGACAACCTAATCGCTCAGGCCATCGGTTAACTTCCTGCTTTGCTCCGACAGGTGCAGACACAAAATCCAACCTGCTACGGTCAAGCCAGACTCCATCCTTATCACAACCTTACAATAAACTGAACATATGACTTCTTATTGAATTAAAAACACCTTTTATTCAAACACACACCAAATCAAACAGGAAAAGGTTTTATTTTTTATTCAAGGCTATTTTATACTACAAAAATGACATTTGCACATATAAAAAAATGAAAATACAAGAAATAAAAAGGAAACAAGGTCACGTTTGATAGTTCTTCTGGAATTCAAGAGGCTAAATTTTAAACCAAATCCTATAGAGTTTCATGGTTTGTTTCAAGAAACGGGACAAATGGCTCTTGGAAAGAAAAACTGTCATTTCCTTTTGGATGTCCAGTGGAAGAAGTGGTCGTCTCACATGGGATAATTTAGCACCACATCTTGTTTCGCCAGCTCCAACAACATAGGATCGTCGAAGAACTTGCTGATGCTCACGTCTTCGCTCAGACCCTGCACAGACACAAACAAAACATAGTAGGAGTCCAATTAAACACCTTTTGAGATCAGTGTCTTTAAAACTGAAGACGGACAAGCGTCAGAGGGAAAACATTCAAACACACACATTAGGAGACCTGTGATGATAAAATACATTTGAGTTCCTGTACGATTGTGAAGCAGGCCCTGAAAAACAAAACTAACTTGGAGATGTCTGGGTAAAAGGTTCGGATTATAACACCCTCGCTGTCCCAAATAAAGAAAAGATGCAATAAAACACATTTTCATTGTTTGCTTTCTTGGTGTGAAGTTAACACAACCTTACCTTGCGCCTTCTGGTCTTGATCATGAACTCTCTGGCCAGGTGAGGGGCGGGCTGGGGCTCAAGAGGCCGGATCACAATGCTCTTGTCCAGGGGGTCACCAGGCACAATCTTAAAGGGGGATCAGATAGGTGATGCAAACAGAAACCACATTTGTTCTCATATAACACATGAAACTTTTCAACCAGCCGAGTGGATATTTTCATTTTATGAGATTCAGCTGAACGCCTGTCCTGTTGGTACGGAGTCAGCAGAACGTTCATCAGCGTGATGGAGAGATGTGCAAATGTGAAAGCACCGTCACACCATCAAATGTGACCAACACAGCAACAATGCAACGTCGGCAGGTTGAGCTTTAAAACGATCCACTAAAGCCATTACCCCAGGCAGTTTGCAGGATGACCTTCACAAAACGCGTCATATATTAATCGTCCCGTTCTGCATTTAGCCGCAGATGAAAGATGAGACCTGCTAGCAGGGTGGTGGGCGTGTACGTGAAGTAGGTCCAGCCAAATCAACCAAAGCGTGAGAGCTACTAATTACATAATAACATTGAGTATTTAAATCTAACTATTAAGGAAATGTGGCCAAATGGTGCACTACACCAACCTCTGAGCTATTCTGGATACCCTGAGCAGCTGAATCCGTCGTGTTGGGACAGTAATTACAGTTACGGATGATAACGGTGATTGATGAGGCACTAAGTGTAAAAGTAATCGCAAAGAAATACTAAATAAATCTTATTAAAATGGGGTGGGAATCCTGAACTCACGTTTGCGTCGCATTCATTTAGGAAATTACAAAGTTATTTGAAAACGTTTAAACACAACTCCAAACAGAACTCCTAAAATAAACAGACATCAAGTAGAAATGTCGATTTTTAAAGTTACAATGCTGATGTGACAGTGTGAGTGTCCTGTCACAATGTCCCGATAGATCATGCGCCCTGGCTACTTGGCCAAGGGGATGTCCCTTTGGCTGACTGGTTAGAGCGTATGACTCTCACTAGAGCCCTGCACGGGCCTAAAATCTGAGCCCATGTCCGGCCCGGCCCGAGGGGGTGGAGCCCCAGCCCGACCCGGCCCGAAAAGGTTTTCAGGATTCTCTGGCCCGGCCCGAGCCCAAGCCCGACTTTTTTTAACCAACTAAATGAAAACAAAGTGCGTCAATCCTGACCAATGTGTTAAAAGATGTGCAGGATCCGAGCGTCGCAGAAGCGCATGCGGGAAGCTTCCCACTGAAGCGAGTGTTTTCCAAACCCGGTCTCTCAGAGAGACTTGTCACTTAGAAAATGTTCCCTGATTATGAAACTTTGGCTGAATAGCGCTTGTTCCTGTCTCCAATGTGCGACACATCCAGGAGCCGTCTGAGGAGAATCCCAGAATCTCACATCCTCTTCAGCTCATGAGCGCATATGATTACGCACAAGCGTGACCCAACACGGTCTCACAGTAAGACTGGGTTGGAACTGTTCAGGTTTACGCAGACAATCTTCACATAGAATTGACTTACAGATATAAAATTAATTCAGTAAAATATAAAGCATTTTATTTAAATACCCATTCATTATTTTACAAGCACATCGGCAGATGGATGGAAGAGCCGCGGGTTGCCGATCCCTGCTCTAGTTCAAGATATCATTAAAATTCCAAAAGTGCTGAAAAGATTAAAAATGGGGCTTTCCGTGCATATACAATACATTACAGTATCCACCGGGATTCCCTGTCTTGAGCGCAACGAATCACAACACAGATTCAGAGACGTGCGAGTTTGTCATCCAAAATGCTCCGTTTTATAACTTTTGAATGGTTGATCAGATTCAAATAATTCCAACGGTTCCTAAAAGTACATAAAAGCAGCTTTCCAACGGTCTATAGCATGAAGCAATCAGAGTTAGAGAAAATATCGCTACGAGGGGAAATCCTGCTGTACAGCCTGATTGAAACGGAGCGCAGCGCTGCTGTGAAAGCGGATAACCTATAAAATGACATGTTGAGGACGCAAACTCAATACATCTCTTTTATTGTGAGGTAATAATTTCTCCGAGTTTTGCGGTTGCGGGCGGGAGTAGACATGCACGCTGCAGGTGTGGGCGGGAGTAGACATGCACGCTGCAGGTGCGGGCGGGAGTAGACACGCTGCAGGTGCGGGCGGGAGTAGACATGCACGCTGCAGGTGCGGGCGGGAGTGTAACACACACATTGCGGTTGCAGGCTGTAATGGTCAGAAATTCAGCGGGAGCGGAGCGGGATGAAGAAAACAGTCCCGCACAGGGCTCTACTGCTGCGTTTAAGTGTTTTAATTTTTTTAATGATTTCGAATAAAAATAAAGGCGCCCGGCCCGGCCCGTGTCCGAGGTAATTACACAGTCGTTGGCCCGAAGCCCGGCCCGAGGGCCGTCGGGCCGGGCCGACCCGAGGGCCTAGGGCTTCAGTGCAGGGCTCTAACTCTCACCCGGGAGTCTGGGGGATCAAATCCCGCCTGGGCCCTCGTTTGTCCACCTTGCCACACTAATGTTAAAGTTTAGATATTCCGGTAAGTTAGCTTTCTTAAAAACTACGAAATATTGAGCTAACGTGCTAACTCAGACTGATGTAAAATAGAAGTGGCCAATCGAAAGGCGGGGTGAAGAGACCCCCGTCTAAGGTCTCTAAAGCTTCCTCGACAGTAAAACGTTGTCCGTCAGTTCAACCGTGGCTCATTTACCAAAGCGCCGGCAGAACCATGACGGGAACAATGATCCATAATATAGAGAATTTTTTTTCTTTGGTCGGCCACTTTCCATCCACGCGAGTCTAAATTTGCACGTTACCCAAATACGATAACCACATTTTATATTTTAACATTTATATTCAGCTCCACACGTTTAGTTTTCAGTTTAAATATTTACGTTTAACTTTGCTTGTTTAGATTAGCATCTTTATATTTTTCTATCTGGTTTAATTTTAATATTATCCAAATCTAAACGTGATCAAATCCAGCAATTCTGACAATATTACTTAACAATCGGCCCCCACAGCAACAAAAACTAAATATCGCTGCTTACATAAAACTATGTCTGGGAATATTCCAGTAGTGAAAAGCTGATGTATTAAAAATGTATTGAATTGGTAAAAGCTTGAAAAAGATTCTGTAGAAAGTAGGACTGCACAATATATCGTAAATATATCGTTATCGCGATATCAGCATGAGCAATATGCGTATCGCAAAGAACCAAAATATCGCAATGAATGGTCAGCTCAAATGTTTGCTTCACATCAAGCTTCTGTCAGTCAAACGGAAGAATGATGTTTAACAAATCAAATAGAGCTCTTCACCCATTTAGCCAATCGGGTGGGTTCTCATAGGTTAGATTCCCGCCCCCGAGGTGGACGGCACTTAATTTTAATGGTTAGCAAACACCTGAGTTAGCTTTGTTCTGCTGATTCTGCTTTTCTTGATCATTTTCTTTTCCCTTTCCTCACATCTTTTGCATTTCTCATTTTTATGATTTATTTTATTTCTTTGCTTTATTTTTGTTCCCGAGTTAAGTTTTTATTTATAGCAAGTAATATCGTCATTGCAATATCAATCACCATTATCGAATATCGCAGGTTTTCCCAATATCGTGCAGTCCAGGTAGAAAGTATCTGAACACAAACCAACCAAAGGTGTCAAGAGTTGTATTAATTTTGGTCGACTCCATATGATTAGCATTCATATAGTGAATAATTAAAATGTCTAGTTAGATGCATTTATTTTCACCTCAAGGGGATAAAACGGTTAAGACGATATCACTTTAAATTTGTGCCGTGGGAATATTTTCCGTAGCTCGTGGCTTAAAGACACTAAGCTGAAATATTAATCTAGCCTAAGTGGAGTTCATTTTCACTGACACAGCTCAACAGAGTGCAGACACAAACACACGTCAGGCAGACACAAACAGCCTCATAACGCTTTAAAAGTAATGACTCAACACTCCACCGTCCTTTGGATCAGAAGCAGTTTGCCCAGAGTGGCAGACATGCATGAGGTCGACCACGACGCAGCACGAGCTGCCACAAACGCACGAGTTCAACAGCAGAGAGATCAAAACATTGTTTACCGCTCTAATTTCCCTCTGGGATTAATAAAGTATTTATTGATTGATTTTTTTCATGGTGCAAAGTGACTGTCACACTCAGGTGCACACTTTATTGGTAGGCCACACATTTCTGCTGCTATTTGAATTTTAATCGCAGCTAAATCTGATTAAATCAAATTCAGAGCGATAACACGCAGAAAGCAGGTTGCGTGTTTAATCTCACCTGCCAGTGGTGGAAGACAGACAGAGCAAAGGCCTGACCCTGAGTGTGCGTACGAAGGTCAGTCTCAAAGCCAAAAGAGTCGATGGCTGGGATAAAAGCTTTGATTGTGTAGAGTGGAGAGCCGGGAATAGGTGCATCCTGGGTGACGTGACCTCTGACAGACGGAAAACACACGAGAAGTTTTTTAAAACTTTAACAAATAATTGTCAGAATTGTTGTTTTTGCCTCGTGAGACAAACCTCCTCCGAGCCAGCACCGTGTAGACCGCTGACACACAATCAGCCGGAGCCTGGACCTCTACGAAATAATACGGCTCCATCAGCCTCGGCGTGGCCTGGGAGAACAAAGCAGACTCTAAAGCACTAAAACCCGGAGAAGCATTACGATGTTCTAATGAACACATTTATGATTCAATCAAAGCTAGCAAGCATTTAGAAGGTATGGATCAAACCAAGCCTCACCATGAGGAAAGCAGAGTAAACAACCCTCCTGGCCGTAGGGATAACCTGACCTCCTCCTCTGTGGAGAGGCTCCTGAGCGATCACAGCATCCAAGATCTTAAACTTCACATTTCTAATGGCTGAAGAGCGAGGAAAAAACACAAGACTCTGTCATTTTATATTTATTAAGCTACGTATGTCCATATCAACAAGCATTCTGACATCCAACAGCTAAACTCAGCGTGGTTCTTACGTTCGTCACAAAGAGGCCCCTCCCTGGTGCCCCACTGGAAGCCCTGAACGATGCTGTCTTTAACAGACCCCAGCAGCGCCTTGTCCACCTACACACACACACACACACTGATTAGATATGTTGATATACTAGTATGATGTCACCAATTGAACTTAACTCAGTATTTCATCATAAACCAAACAGAAAAGCATTTATAAAAAACACCGTTCTCGTGCTGTACACTCATTCTTCTAGGTTGCTACTAGCTGATGTGAAAACAAGCAGACAGGATCTGTAGAACCTGTCTGCTTTAATAGCCGGGAGGTTTCTATACGGCAATAAAAGTAATGCAGTACAAACTATTTACTCAAGTTTCTGCTGTGAAACCGAAAAATTCATTTAGATCTATCTAGATCTATAGATCTATCTCTAATGTCTTAAATAGATTTATCTAGATCTATAGATCTATCTCTAATGTCTTAAATAGATCTATCTAGATCTATAGATCTATCTCTAATGTCTTAAATAGATCTATCTAGAATGTCTTAAATAGATCTATCTAGATCTATAGATCTACCTAGAATGTCTTAGATTTATCTAGATCTATAGATCTATCTCTAATGTCTTAAATAGATCTATCTAGATCTATAGATCTACCTAGAATGTCTTAAATAGATTTATCTAGATCTATAGATCTATCTCTAATGTCTTAAATAGATCTATCTAGATCTATAGATCTACCTAGAATGTCTTAAATAGATTTATCTAGATCTATAGATCTACCTAGAATGTCTTAAATAGCTCTATCTAGATCTATAGATCTATCTACAATGTCTTAAATAGATCTGTCTAGATCTATAGATCTATCTACAATGTCTTAAATAGATCTGTCTAGATCTATAGATCTATCTAGAATGTCTTAAATAGATCTATCTAGATCTATAGATCTATCTAGAATGTCTTAAATAGATCTATCTAGATCTATAGATCTATCTAGAATGTATGTCTTAAATAGATTTATCTAGATCTATAGATCTATCTAGAATGTCTAAATAGATTTATCTAGATCTATAGATCTATCTAGAATGTCTTAAATAGATCTGTCTAGATCTATAGATCTATCTACAATGTCTTAAATAGATCTGTCTAGATCTATAGATCTATCTAGAATGTCTTAAATAGATCTATCTAGATCTATAGATCTATCTAGAATGTATGTCTTAAATAGATCTATCTAGATCTATAGATCTATCTAGAATGTCTTCAATAGATTTATCTAGATCTATAGATCTATCTAGAATGTCTTCAATAGATCTAGATCTATAGATCTATCTAGAATGTCTTCAATAGATCCATCTAGATCTATAGATCTATCTAGAACGTATGTCTTAAATAGATCTATCTAGATCTATAGATCTATCTAGAATGTCTTCAATAGATCTATCTAGACCTATAGATCTATCTAGAATGTCTTCAATAGATTTATCTAGACCTATAGATCTATCTAGAATGTCTTCAATAGATCTATCTAGACCTATAGATCTATCTAGAATGTCTTCAATAGATCTATCTAGACCTATAGATCTATCTAGAATGTCTTCAATAGATCTATCTAGACCTATAGATCTATCTAGAATGTCTTCAATAGATCTATCTAGACCTATAGATCTATCTAGAATGTCTTCAATAGATTTATCTAGATCCATAGATCTATCTAGAATGTATGTCTTGAATAGATTTATCTAGATCTATAGATCTATCTAGAATGTCTTAAATAGATTTATCTAGATCTATAGATCTATCTAGATCTATTTAAGACAACAACAAAAATATATTTTTATAATCAGCCAGAGCACAACTAGGCAGCTAGACACCAAACCCATTCACATGCAGCTCTTTGGACGTAACCTACCTCTGAAGGTAGCGTGTCGTCTACTAGGATGTTTGGCCCGGTCGTGTCTGGTCCAAACGCCCAGATAGATCTGGCAGCCAGCAGATCCCAGTCATACTTCGTCTGGAAAAACTCTCCCAGCTTCTTCCTGTTGTAACAAAGCAGAGCAGGCACACGTTGGGCGGAGGTGTGCACGTGTCAGCTGCCTGGCTGGGACACTAAAGAAATGGCTTTGTTTGGGGGGTAGAAGGGTTCATGGAAGAGGGGGGAAGGTGTGTGAAGTGTTGTGGCATTGCTGCTTCATGCTGGCACAGCTGGGTCCAGATGGTCTCACAGACTGGATGTCTCTCGCCAGTCAAGCACCACCCTCTTCACACAAGTGTGCATCACTTAATTACTGAGAATAAATCAGTATGCCATCATGGCAACACTTCTGTGGCCACCAGCAACCACAGCTTCTTCAGAGGAACGTTCAGAGTGTGCAGCGACAGCAGTAAACGCTGACCTGAAATAAGATGTTTACGTTTTATGAACCGAACTGTGTAAGAACTAAAAAGGCCACCTAGATCAGCAGCCGGTGGCTGATTAAGGTTTCCAAGGTAAGCACTTCATCAGAACCATCCTGGTGAGTATACACCTATGCGTCTGACTTCCTGATAGCAAGGAGACGTGGACAGACATGCGGACTAAAAACTGAACTTCAGACAGTTGCTGGGTGAAAACTAGGAATCATTAGAAAAACAAATCTTGAAACGCGAGCAGGATCAGAACGTCACATCTGTGAATCCTTTTGTGTGGGTGACATGAGAAGAGAGATGACTGATCACTCTGGCTTCCTGCATAAGCGGCATGTAACGCAAGGTCACTACGTCACCAGAGGACTGCAGGAACACAGTTCACATGTTAAAGTCCCATTAGTTGTCACACACACAGGTGTGTGTGCGAAATTTGTTCTCCGCATTTGACCCATCCCCTGGGGGCGCGGTGAGCTGCAGACACAGCCGCGCTCGGGAACTATTTGGTGGTTTAACCCCCCAATCCAACCCCTTAATGCTGAGTGTCAAGCAGGGAGGCATTGGGTCTCATTTTTTCAAAGTCTTTGGTATGACCCGACCAGGAATTGAACCCCTGATCTCCCAGTCTCAGGGCGGACACTCTACCACTAGGCCACTGAGAAAGGTTGCTCATGTCAATGAGCAAGAAGGATGGCAGCGTGTATCCAAAGGTTCTTTCTCACCTCAACCAAGGTTTCACAGGTAATGGCGTTCTTTTATTTACTAATTAAGCAGCTGGAAATTTGCACCTGTCTTTTATTTTGAAAAATTCAGGATATTTTTTCTTGCTCCATTTTTTACTTCCTGTTGGCCCAACCTGAACTGCTGAGCTCGGCGCGCCCTTCGCGGGTGCAACAGGATGCTAATGCAGCGATCTGGACGCTATGTCCACACTGAACAGTTAGAAGGTGTCCACGCCTTTTATTACTTACTGAACTAAACGTTCTGATGAATAATTCAACTGTTATTTCTTTATTTCTCTCCAAAACTTCTAGGTGTGACCATGCTAGCAGAAAATCAACATGGCTGCTTCAGTGTTGACACATTCTCACCCAGAAATACATTACTGGACAAATACTTAGCTATGCAGGAGCCATGTTGCCCATTAAACCCTTTTCACTCCAGAGGACTTCTAAATCCTCTGACCTTCTTCTAGGACAGCGTTTAATGAACGAACAAATCCTGACTCATAATTGTCTCCTCGTTTATCTGTGCGGACGAAGAAATGAGCATAAATGGTCAGAAAGCCCCAGATGTGGAGAAATCATTAAGCCGACATCAAAGTCAAATGAGCACATCTGACATGAAAGGGACATTAAATCGCTTCAGTTAATTAGGAAGTTCATTTACGAGCAACGAGAGCTGCTCGGAGCCGTACCTGTTCCATGTGATCTGCACCACTTCGTTCTCGATGTCCTCAGCCAGTCCCTTCTCCAGGGGTTCGGCGATCATGGTTATCTTGTTCCTGTCAATCACATCCCACAGCTGTCAGTCACGGACGGAGAGACTCTCCGCCACAGAGAAACACCCGGAACTGATCATGCTCCCCAGATTAAAGTCAGCGTTTGGGCGCGAGCTCTAAAAAGAGATGTGGCTTATTACACACTTTTTGTTGGGCGTCTCAGCGAAGCACTTCAGCGATGAAGTCTCCACCACCGTTTCACAGAAAGTCACAACCGGGTCGGCAACCTGTGAGCAAAGCGTAACAGCCGGCTGATTACATCCAGGTGCAGTAAACCGGGGTAAATCCTCCAGACTGACAGAATACAGGGTATCTGCAGGTTTAAGGGAGCCAAATTTAAGACTTTTTAAGACCACTTGGACCAAATTTAAGCTATTTTTTTAATTAAATTTGAGCTATAATTTCCAGCTATTGCCTAGAACCGATGATAACCACGTCGTGAACGTGGGATTAGCCATCCGGTTACCATTAATGTTGCACTTCCCCATGGCGCAAACTCCCACTAGCTTAATGTGCTCATCTAAAAATAGCCCCCTTTCACAACCAAACAAACGTGTACGGTTCCGCTTACGCCAATACCATACACAAAAAATGCTGAACACTAACTAGAAATTCACGGAAATTTAATAGAAATAAAATAATCTTGTTTAGTGGGTCTTTGGTAATTTAAGACTTTTGGAAACTATTTAAGGATTATTTGTCATTTTTAAGGATTTTTAAGGCCTTAAATTTGGAAAAGCAAATTTAAGACTTTTTAAGGACCTGCAGATACCCTGGAATAAGATGATTTCAGAGAGAAGCTGCAGTTTCACCTCCTGCCAGACCTGAAGCCCAACCACAGCTTTACCATCAGATTCCAGTAAAAAATTGCTCATTTAACATTTGAAATTTCTGTTTTACCGTAAACCCTCTAATACAGGCCCGGGCCTGTATTAGAGGGTTTACGGTACTTACTCTCGCATTCACAAACTTCACAGAAGAACTTGACTTACTTTAATGTCAATTTCAGAGTACATTTTTCTCAGATCATGCATGACACAATCCAGGTAGAGCTCTCCTGTTCCCAGGATGACGTGTTCTCCAGACTCCTCCACCTGAAAGAGTGCGTTCACATCTCAGCCACGGGACGCCTGATCAGCTCGCGTTTCTGTTAACAGAAAGGCCGACACCCGCAGAAACGAACCTTTGTGGTGAGAGACGGGTAGCTCTTGTTGACCTTCCTCAGGCCGTCCAACATTTTCGGCAGCTCCGACGGGTTTACGGGCTCCACCGCGATTTTAATAACTGACGCCGTGTTAAACTTCAGAGGCCTGAAAATCTGAGCCTAAATGAGAAGAATTAAAAGTTTGAATTTCGCTCGTATTTCTTAAGATCTGGGATGTTTTTCACCGATCCCCACCTCTTCGTTGCCTCTGGGCTCTGTGATTGTGGCGGTCTTCACGATGGGCTGGTCACAACCCTCTATCAGCACCCAGTTCCCCGCAGGGACTCGATTCACTTCAATCTGGTATCTGAAACGATGTTAGAACTTGTCTGTTCAGCACAGGATCACCGGTTAAATCTTTACAAAGAAACCTTCACACATACCTGGCAACCGAGATCCAGAGACGACCCACGGTGCAGATCTGAGAGTCCTCCTCGTCCTCCAGCGTGTAGTTCTCTCCCAGCACCTTCACTGGCTGGCCCGCCTGGATGGTACCACTCAGCACCCTGCCAAAGGCATGGAACTGGACCCCGTCCTCTGTGCTATACATCTTGGTGGTGTGACACATCAACGGACCCTCAAAGTGACAAACAATAAGTAACTCAGTCTGGTTCCCCTTGATGCCATGTAATAAAAGATAAATGACCCGCGCTTGTGTAGCGCCTCTCAGAGTAAGGACTCCAAAGCGCTTTACACTACAGTGTATCATTCACCCATTCACACACTGATGGTGATGAGCTACGATGTAGCCACAGCTGCCCTGGCCCAGGACAGACACTCTTGATAAACTAATGTTAGACTCACATCAGGGTCGCACTCCGCCATGGCCTCCCCCAAATCTGAGTCCAGACCTCCAGTGTAGGTGTGCTCTATCTTGGTCTTAGCGCCCTCTTGTGGTGAGGGGATGTGCTGCACACACATGTCCACGAGCCCTGCGGGGAGGTAGGTAGCAGCCAGTGAGCAGCAGATTTAAGAAAAGGGTGTTTGAAAATTAAACAAAAGGACCGACATTTTAGTAAACACTGAATTTGGATTTGAAAACTATTATGAGCACAGTTTTTTAAATGTCTTTAAGACCACCTGGTCCGAATCCTTTCAGCTTTTATGATCCTTGATGCTCTTTATCTAAAGTCTGACATGCTTTCCTGAGATCTAAGGAAGGCCTGAATGGGCGTGATATGAAGGACTACGGTGGGGGTTATTACATAAAGACAAAAGCCATGAGGTGCTCTGTGTCAGAGGCGGAGGTGAGAGATGAACAAGAATACCAGCGAGTTTATTTTTACGTGATCCAAATGTCGTTCTGATGTTTCGTATAAAATCACACAGCCCTGAGTCGTATTGTGGTTGTATCCCGACACTAACACACATACAGTAAATGTCGCTTAAAACCGGCATCTGAATAGTTCTGCTCAAAGGAAAATAAGCAAAACGATTAACCGAAGTCGTACTTTACACTAGGGTTGTCACGGTGTGAAAATGTTACCTCACGGTTATTGTGACCAAAATTACCACGGTTTTCGGTATTATCGTGGTATTTTTTTAAACGTGTTACATTTTCAGACAACTAAATAAACCCTGTATATCAGGAAAATACTGTTCTCAGTTTGTGTCTAAATTTTGCCTAAAATGTGTTATTTTGTAATTATGTTGTTTATTTGTTTACATTTTTCCCTTTAGTCTTTAAAATACCAATATTTGCCCATAACTTCTTAATTTTTGTCTGTTTGATGTCATCATTTTAAAAATATTAGACCAGATGATACTCAGTACTCAAGTAGCCTTCTAATCAGATACTTTTTTACCCTTACTTGAGTAATAAACCCTATATCAGGAAAATATTGTCCTCGGTTTGTGTCCTTCCAGTGAGCTTTGCAGATGTGGGGAAATGTCATCAGGCAGTAATCATTGTTAAATTCATAATTATTCTCGGAGAGAGACCAACTCTTATCTGCCCCTGGGAGCCCCGTAATGCATAGCGTCATTTCAACATGGGGGTGTCCGTGACACGGTTTATATGCAGGTAGCGGCGCTGCGGCTGCTTTATATAGCGACTCGTTGCATTCTCCCTCAACCCAAATCCTCGGATCACGCGTTTTAGCTAAAACGCTAACGTTAGCTTGCCTTGCGTTGACTGTAGAGTTGTGGGTGATGGTCACGCAGATGTGTCATGAGATTTGAATCGTTGCTGCCTTTCACAGACACTTTTTCTGCACATGCTGCAAACAGGATAGCCGTCTTCTATCAACTGTCCCTCGACATTCTTCAAATATCCAAAACATGTCCATGATACCCACTTTGTCTTCTTTGAGGGATAATAAATGTCCTGAGTGCTGCCGTCTCCTCCTCTGGCCATTATTTCAGCTTTAGCTTCAAGAAAGTTTTGGTTGCAAACAACAAAGCGCGCATGTGCCGCCGGCAACTTCAGCAGATGATACGGTGGCTGGTAAGGGTCATGGCGCCTACACCGCAGCCACGGTAACCCACCGAGATAATATTTTTTTAAAAACAAGACGGTTATTATTATTGTCAACTTTTTTACCGGGGTTTACCGCTACACCGGTTACCGTGACAACCCTACTTTATATACAACAAGCTTGTATTTTTGCACTTTGGCCATCACTCCAGACTTTTCCCATAGAAGAAAAACTTATTTCTAGACAAACGAAGGCGGTTCAAATCCAGTCATACCGGTGAACTCTCCGAAGAATCGGTTACAGACCAGCCGAAGCAGAGGCCTGATGTTCAGTTTCAGCTCCTCTTTGGTCAGGTGGATCCCAAGCTCATCCAGAACTCGAGGGAGAGAGGTGTCCACGTCTCCGACCACCTGGACACAAGGACAGTTACACACCGGGCAAGCTGGACCTGAGTCTGATGGACGAACGGAGCACTGAGGAAGGCATGTTTAACCTGTGAGAGGATCTTGTAAAGAGGCTCCAGGACAAACTCCACAAAGCTGCGCTGAGAGTTGCTGCTGGGAGCTTTCTTTGTGAACTTGCGACTAAACAATAAGCAGAAAGGAATTCCTGAGTTATGTGAACAAAGATCAGCTCCACGTGTGCGGACACTGAGACTCACGTTTTGGGGTTGAAGTAAATGTCTCCCCAGAGCCGCTTGGCAAACTCGTTGTAGTTGATGTCCCCTACGGACCAGAGTCAGGAGTGAATTAGTCCTGAGAGAACTACACTGTAGTTACAGCTGCTTAAGGATGAGCCTCTCACCGTAGGTGTCCGAGTAGATCTTTGCAAACGACCCCAGCGTGAAACAGATGCTGTACTGAGAGCTGGCAAAGCACACGTTTCCAAGGAGAGGAGACACCACCAAGTTCTCATCCGTGGAATACGTGCTGAAAAGGAAGACAAAGTCTCTTTTTATGTTAGATCTGCAGATCAGTATGCACCAATACCAGATATTTAAAACAGAGTACGAGTACTTTCTAATTGCCACTGCAAATCATTTGAAATTGTTGAAAAAAAAAATGCTCCTTTTTGTTTGCTTTTATGGAACTACCCACTGTGAGCCACATTTAGTGTACCAATGTCTTATAGAAAATACAATCTTAACAGAAAACGACAGGAATCCAAGATCTGAAGGCTCCTTAGCCAGAATCAGTCTCACCTCTTCTTTCCACCAGCCGTGAAAGCGGTCGCATAACGTAACAGCAGCGGTTTACCCGCGAGTTCATTCCCAATCAGGACTGTTTCTGATGCAAAAAGGGAGTGAGAGCTTTCCACGCTGTCGACCCCAGGATGTCACAAAATCACAGGAGAATTGCGACACTACACGTGATTTCAAAAGTCCACACACAATAACAAGCAAGGAGAATGACACTGGGCTGCGCAGTGGCGCAGTGTTTAGAGCTGTTGCCTTGCAGCAAGAAGGTCCTGGGTTCGCTTCCCGGCCTGGGATCTTTCTGCATGGAGTTTGCATGTTCTCCCTGTGCATGCGTGGGTTCTCTCCGGGTACTCCGGCTTCCTCCCACAGTCCAAAAACATGACTGTCAGGTTGATTGGTCTGTCTAAATTGTCCTTAGGTGTGTGTGTGTGTGTCTCTATGTTGCCATGCGATGGACTGGCTCTCTGTCCAGGGTGTACCCCGCCTGATTGCCCGTTGACCGCTGGAGATAGGCACCAGAGCCCCCCCCCCCCCGGGACCCTACGTGGACAAGTGGGTTCAGACAACGGATGGATGGATGGAGAACAACACCTGCATGTATCAAAAAGGTCTGTTGTTTATGTTCTGTTCTGTTTACGGGGGTTACAACCGGAAAGGATGTACGTTTACCTGCGTGTGACTTTTATTTTAAAAGTTTCTGGATGTTCTACACTGCTTTTGTGTTTGACTTTCTGACTGGTGTGATCTAAACTGCAGAATTTGACGTGTTTTGGAAGTGTGGCGTGTAAAAAGTAGTCTTCAAACGTGATGACAGCGTCCCCTTGCTTCTGGGGCGTGTCCAAAACATCACGTTTTGCTGCCGTTGGAACTCATCCACTTTAAGCAGCGGCTAACTGTGCATTGTACATTTCACAGTTGTTTTGCAACACTTTTCACGTGCAGCGGAAATGTGCTCCTGTATAGAGTGAATGTCATTTATCACATAATGTTATAAATCCAGTGGGGGGAATTCTGGTAAATAGGGGAACAGCCGCAGCAGCGACAATTAAGCTGTGGTATCGGGCCGATATCTATGCTGGTGTCAGCATCAGTGCATCTCTATTTGCAAATCAGAGCTTAAAGGGACTTTACGGACTTTTGAATTTTTATGCTCGCGATTGCCCCCTCAGTCCAAAAGCGTAACGGCAGCTTCAATAGTAGGCTCGTGCACGAGGCGCGCATGCTGTACGTGCACACTCCTTAACAAAAATAACAGCTGAGACAGTCCCTTGTGTGTGTGTGTGTGTGTGTGTGTGTGTGTGTGTGTGTGTGTGTGTGTGTGTGTGTGTGTGTGTGTGTGTGTGCGTGGGGGGGGACAGAGCGCGCAGCTAATTAATTAAATAATGTGGTTCTGTACCTTTCTCTTCAGCACAGCCAACAAAGGTTTATGATGGGTCAGTCCTCCTGCATGCTCAGATCATTCCCTTCCCTTGCTTGAAAAACTGTTCCAAAATGAAAGTTGAACCCACATCTTTTTTATCTGTGAATCCAATGCCGTTCTGCGAGTCTCAAATAAAAATTTGGGCATCTTACTGTAAAAAAATGTACCATTAATGTAAAAAAGAAACTCTAAAAGAACTATGTTCACACCCCAGAATCGTACCGAGGTCATCTGCATGACAGTCCAACGTCTTACAAGGTGAGCTAATGCGCCATTGACGTCCATTGTATCTGTAATATCCATGATGACAGCTGAAACAACGTTCAAAGAACGGTTCGAAGTGAAAATGGCTATTTTGTTGCTAATTTGCAGGAAATATCTAGAAGAAAGTTCTACAGAAAGTAGCTAAGGGTCCTCAGAAATGTAGCTAGGTTTGTCACTACGCGTTAGGAACAGCGACAAAGTGGCACTGCCTCTCTCTCTGCTGCTAAAGCTACGGATAGCAAATGCTACGGGCGATGCCTGAGCGTGAACGCGCATGAAGCAGCCTGCTCGACCCGAGCATCTCTCTTTTTCTGTGATTTTACAGAAAAACAGGCAATCACAGTAGACCAGGGCATTGCAGGAGAATGTATGAAGAAGACATTTATTATTTCTATACATGTTTTGGCTGTCAAACTTCCTTACAGTCCCTTTAAAATCGTCCTCCACTAAAGAGGTCTGAACGTGCCAGAGTCAAGTCTGAACTAAGGAGCAAAGGAAGAAAATCCTGACCGTCAACATCGGGTAAAAAGGGAAAATGAGCCACTAATAAGTAAACAGAAACACGAACATTGTGTCTGAAAAGGGCTTTAGAAATCAATTTAACTCTTTTTTGGTAAAGAATGTTCTTGGCAGAGGTTACCTGAGCAAACCGTTGACCTCATCCACAATGTGGCGAAGTTTATAATAAGCATCTGTTGGAGGCAATTTGAGCTCAACGATGAGTCGGTCCACCTTGTTGATGCAGATGGTGATGGCCATGCGCTCCTGCACCGCATGCTTGATCAGACGCTCCGTGTTCAGCATCACCTGGTCAGACAGGTTAGAGTCCACGTCAGCGGGCCATGGAGGAGAATTCAGATAGTAGGAAAAATGAAGCAGCAACTCACTCCTTCTGCTGCATCGATGAAGAGG